TAATATCTGTGCCCATCTTCCTCTATTTTGTATGTGGGATGCTGCCAGCATGGCTGATGATGAGTGGTATATGTCCCCACCAGGATCTGAACCTGGGCTACGGAAGCGGAGCATCGGGAACTTAACCACTAGGCCATGAGGCCACCCCCCCAGTGACTGGTGACTCATTACTGACTAGACCCCCCACTGGCTCTTTCTAATTAGTGCAAAGACACAGCTCTTGTTGCTGCATCGAGGATTTGTGATTTTTTAACACACTGATAACTGTGTATCAGTGTAACTGGGTCCCGTGTAATCCTGTGGCTTTTATTTTACGCATTTAAAGACATTATTCTAGGAAGAGGTCAGTGGCATGAAGAAGCCTCGTTAAATATGCTTTGAGCCCTCAGTGATGGGGCTGCTGTCTCTCTTGCTGTCCCCCTGCTCTCTAAATCCGGAGTCTCTGAGGTCTGTCCCCCACATCGTGCAACTTCCCTGATGCCCTCTCAGCCTCCGGAGCCCCCTGCCCAAGGCACGAGCCCAGATTTTTCTTTTTCTAGCTCCCTCCTTCCCCATGTGTCAAAACTGGATGGAGAAATTCTGGCACATTCTACAACATGGATGAACGTTGGAGACATCACACCAAGTGAAATAAGCCAGTCACAAAAGGACAAACGCTGTATGATTCCACTCCTGCGAGGTGCTCAGAGTAGTCAAATCCATCAAGACAGGAAGTAGAGGGCCTGCCCTGGTGGCCTAGTGGTTAAGGTCAGAACGCTCGGCTTCAGTGGCCCAGGTTCAGTTCCCAGACAGGGACCTACACCACTTGTCCGTCAGCCGCCATGCTGTGGTGACAGCTCACGTACAAAAAGAGGAGGATTGCAGCAGATGTTAGCTTAGGGCGAATCTTCCTCTGCAAAAAAAAAAAAAGAAAAAAAAATCAGAATGGTGGTTGGCCTGGGCAGGGGGATGGGGAGTTAGTGTGTAAGGCGGACAGAGTTTCAGTTCTGCAAGAGGAAACAAGTTCTGACGATGGATGGTGGCAATGCACGATGTGAATTTGTTCATGCCACTGAACTGCATCCTTAAAAATGGTTAAAATGGTAAATTTTGTGTTATGTATATTTTACCACAATTAAAAATAACAACAACAACAAAACAGCTCGAGGCGGCCGCCAGCAACCCTGGTAGTCAGGAGATGAACTTTGGATGCTCTCCTTCTTGGGTTTCAATCCTGCTCTGCGCCCAGGTGACTTGGGGTGTGAGGTAGCCATTCAGGGCCTCTCTCTTTTTCCAGATGGCTCAGCTGCGGACAAGGGGACCCCACAGCCGCCCACTGAGCACTAACTCTGCAGGAGCCGAGCTCAGTTTTGGTCTCCTCCCCGGGCGCCAGGGAAGGAGGGGGTGGCGGTGGGGGTCTCTGACTCCCGCACGGCCGGCTTGGAAAGGCCCTGCTGTCGCCCCCGGCTCCCCGGACGCTGGGTGTGCAGAGGCCAAGATTGTGGGGTCGCCGCCAGAGCGCCGGGCTCGCAGCCCACCCTTCCCCTTACTGCGTCCCGTGGGGCCTCGGGTTCCTCGCAAGCTCGGGCTATCAGTTCCCACACGGGGGCTTCTCCAGGCCCACACAGGACACCCGGGTGAAGGGCTTGGAGCAGTGCCCGTGGGAAGCGTTCCATAAACGTTAGTCATGTCCCTCTGCTCGGGCTGCGTGCAGCTGGCCTTCCAGAGCTGAGGCCCCGGGCCGTGGAAATGATGGGCCAACTTTTGCGCGGCCACGCGGGGTCTTCCCGGAAAGCGCCAGGATGCAAGGATGCTAACAGGGCTTGATTTCGCACGTGGGGGAAGTAGGTCTGGAGCTAGGAAGCGGGGTGGTCCCTCTCTCGGAGCCCCCACATTATCAGCTCCCCCTCCCCTCCAAACACCTTCAGGGGCGTGCAGAGGAACAGGGCGCATCACCCCGGTCCAGCCGCCTCACCGCCCACCTGGACTCTGGCAGGCGCCTCCTCGCCCTGTCTGTTCCCCATGCGGCCGCCAGAGGGCGCCTGGGGACCCTAAGTCAGCTCCCCGCCCGCTGCTCAGAACCGTCCCGCGGCTCCCGCCTGGAGCACGAGGTCTTACAGGATAGGCCCCCTTTGTTGCCTCTCTGACCTCACCTCCCGCCCCGGCCCCCCGCCTGGGCTCCAGCCATACTGGCCTCTTTGTTGTTGCTCAACACTGTAGGCATGCTCCTGCCTCAGGGCCTTTGCACTGGCAGTTCTCTGCCTTGGGTGCTCTTCCCCCAGATCTCCCCGTGGCTCCTTTTCTCATTTCATACGTGTCTCTGCTCAAATGTCACCTCCTCAAAGAAGTCTTCCCTTCCCACCTGGCCCTGAGGGCCTTCATGTGCAGTTGGGCGGGTTGTTCACTGCACAAAGCACTCACTGAATGGGTGAGGGGGGCTGGAATCCAGCTCACGCTCTCCAGGAGAAAGGGGTGCTGTTTTGTAGTTCACACAAAGAGGTCCTAGGGACGAGGGGCTGCCTCGTCCACTCCTTTACCCTGAGTTATGGATGGAGTGGTGTCCTCCCAAAACATATGCTGGTATCCTAACCCCCAGTACCCGTGAATGGGATCTTATTTGGAAATAGGGTCTCTGCAGATGTAAACAGGTCGGGAGGAGGTCATACTGGAGCAGGGTGGGCTATCATCCCACATGGCTGGTGTCCTTCTAAGAGAAGACACACGGATGGCAGAGGGAAAATAGCCACGTGAAGACGGAGGCAGAGGATGGAGTGATGGGGAACCCTGAGACCACCGGAGACTGGAAGAGGCCAGGAAGGCTCCTCCCCTAGCGTCTCAGAGGGAGCATGGCCCTGCCGACGCTTTGATTTGAGACCTCTGGCCTCCAGAACGGTGAAAGAATAAAACCCTG